CCCCAAAACCCCAAAACCCCAAAACCCCAAAACCCCAATTTAAGATATAAAATTTGATCATTTGATAATTTTTCACAGCCATGAATAAACTCCCCAAAGGTAGTGCTTTATGTAACCTTTAGTTCAGACAAAATGAATCAAGAAGGAAGTCCTCTGGGACTATTTTAAAGGGATCTGTCAAGAGAATTCTCATAAAATAGAGAGAATTTTTGATATTTCGGACCTTAAATCCCTTGCTTTTATTCTTAAGTTCAGCAGTGATGCTGGGATTAAAGAAATCCCATATTACAACAAATTACTTAAACATATCGAGTCTGAATTTGATATCTTTGGGGCATATGCTCTTAGCTATATTTTGCCAACGTAAGCAGCCTCAAATGATGTAATAGAAACCAGGAGTCATTCAACTCGCAGAATCAAGTAGCAATGTTCTTCAATGTACGGACTCTTTGACATTTTCATAGAAAAATCCAGATGTTCTGCAGAAATAACATGGAATTTTTCACTTGATTATATGATACTTTCTTCAAATTTAGATTTATGTTTACAAAGGGGCAGTTGGAATACATAAAATCTGCGTTTGAAGATATCCCAAGCATCTCTTTGAGACATCGAATAAAGGGATATGAGGACCTACAGCTCAAATCTTTCAACAGTTTGCTAAAAGAGTGCTCTCACAGTGAAGCCAGAGCCACTGCTAATACCGAATTGGATATTGATCTTCCTAAGTCTTACAAGTAAAATCTTATATCATATTTTAGTATTGATTATGACTTTCAGAGCAAACTAGTAATGATCAAGAATGAAGCGACTAATCGGACTATTATTATCCATTCTTCACAAAACTTCACTGAAGAGAGTGTCAATTTTGGAAAGAAATTAATAGATGCGTTCTCTCCAGAAGTGCTGTTTTGTGAGTTACCTCCTAAACTAATTGAGATCGAGCAAAGAGATATCAAGAATAACACTGCTGAGCAGAGTATCTCTCTTGACGACCTAGATTTGTTCTGTAATACTCAAATTGTCTTATTTCTAGTGGAATCTCCCTCAACATCAAAGCGCCAGGGTATGCACAGTGACCCACGGTTGGCATCTGAGGGATCAAACCTACAGGGTGGAAGGATACTCAAGACATTAGAAATACTCCAAGGCGAAGCTTTACAACACCACTTTGAAAATACCATCCTTGACTCCTTATCAGAGATCAATGATGAAGAAGAAACTGTCAATTTAAAAATAAGCGAAGACCAATACCCTCTTGACATGGAAACTTTTGTCTACTATTTTGCTAAAAAGTAAGATTTTAGTACTAATCTTAGATTCCAAGGGGAAGTTGTATTCTCAGATCTTCATGAAGATGAGCAAGCGCATAATTTTATATCGTCAACTCTTGATAAGAAGAGACATCAGATCAAACATTTTATCAAATGGACTACCACCTTATCAACAGCTTCTTGGTACCTCAATGTTGTGAATTCTGGATGCCATAAATGCAATGTCTTCTTTAATAAAGGGAATCTTCCGCAAAATCCTATTCCAATAACTGCTTTGACAAGTCAGAAATTTATGAGCAATGAGCTTCGAGAGAAGCTAATGGCATTCCAAATTTGTAAATTCATGCAAGATCCTAAATATAACAAGACATCCCAGGAAGATAAGACTCATTTGTTGGCTTTTGTTCGAGATCTAAATTACCTGAAAGTAGCAAAATACACTTCTAATTTCCTTAGCAATCCCGCAGCCATAGAGGAATTCCAACAGGAATTCATTGAAAAGTATAGATGTGACAACCCATCTTCGTCGGTTTGGAATGACTCAAATATTTTTGACAGCAGTTATAGGCAATCAATGGTCAAGAAATGGGCGCTATATAATTCACTTATACAATCTCCAGAAAATTCAACGCCTTATTTCAAAATTACTGAGCTAGATAAGCTAAATACAGAGATTTATCTCCTAAAAGCATTTAAGAAGCAGAATTTAGCTGAACATCTGACTGACATTAGGAAAGCAGAAGTGTTCCTACAGGAAGAAGATTTAGAAAAGGACTTAATCTCTGAAATGACGGCAGTCAAAAATCCTCAAAATGACTACCAATTTGCTCAAAATGAATTCTTGAAGGAGAAATATAATAAAGACGGAGGAGTCGCATCTTGTCCTTCTCTCTCATATCTTCAGAGTAAAGTGAACACTCAGGTTTCTAAAGAACAAGCATTCAAAGAAGCAGGAGATTGATTGGCGCAACTAGGAGACCAGAGAGATGAGTTCGATCCTGTGATCCTCGATTATGAGTCGGATCCTGAATATTAATTCAAAAGAACTTTGATTAAAAGGGGTTTTGGGGTTTTGGGGTTTTGGGG